GTTGTTCGGAAGCGAGTGGTTCCTAAAAGTGTGGTCAGATGACGGAAAAGTTCAGATTCAAACTGACGTCCACGATCTGTAGTGATTGTTTAATGGCAGACGAAGTTTGCTACCCATCGTTCGACGAAGGCGCGGGCCACTGTTTCAGCAGTGATGTCCTTGATAGGTACTGCTACCGGCCATCGCGTGAAACGGTCTACGCAGGTTAAGAGGTAAGAGTATCCATTTGAATCTGGTAAATGTCCTACCAAATCCAGATGAACATGGTCGAAATGAGCATCGGGAGTTTTAAATGAGCCCAAGGAACATTTATTGTGTCTGATAACCTTAGATTTTTGGCAGCTTACACAGGAGCGTGACCACTCCCCCACGTCTTTATTCATGCCAGGCCAGCAAAACCGTTCTGCTATAAGCTTGAAGGTTGCACGGACAGCTGGATGAGAACGTTTGTGCAATGTGTTGAAGACAACGTTTCGGCACGATTGGGCGATTCCTACCTGTAGATGTGTCACACAGTAAGGTTCCCCTACCTGTTCCCATCTGTTTGATGTGTAGTTTAAGGGTTGTAGACGATAACTCGTGCTGAAGATCAGTGTCTTCTTTTTGAAGCTCGGCGAGTTTAAGAAGGTGGATTCCTTGGAAACTGTTCAAGGAAGTTATGCGAGATAAGGCGTCTGCAACTATATTGTTTGCTCCAGAAATATGTTGAATATCTGAAGTAAACTGCGAAATGTGGTCTAGTTGTCAAGACTCACGGGGAGAGTACTTGTCTGAAGCAGAGCTTAAAGAGAAGGCAAGTGGTTTATGGTCAGTGAAAAGAGTGAATTCACGGTCTTCGATATAGTGTTGGAAATGCCGTACAGCACAATACATAGCTAGGAGTTCCCTACCGAGTGAGCTGTACCTCAATTCGGTGTCTAGCAACCGTCTAGAGAAAAATGCCAAAGGTTGCTAGTAGTTGTTAACCCATTGTTGTAAGACTCCTCCGATTGCCGAGTCGGATGCGTCTACTGCGATGCTAATGGGTGCTTCAGTGTCCTGGTGTGCAAGCATTTTGCTTTAGCGATAAGTTCCTTAACTGTGGAGAATGCTTTTCGTGCAGTGTAGTCCAGATTAATGGATTTCGCATTTCCACGAACTTGGTCGGTTAGAGATTTCATGAGTAACGCGCATTTCGGTATGAACCGTCTATGGAAACTTACAAGGCCGTTAAACGTTCTTAGTTGCTTGATCTTGGTCGGTTCTGGGTAATCCAGAATGGCCGCCACTTTGGTCCTAAGGGGTCGGATACCTTGAGTATCGATAGTGTGTCCCAGAAAGTCTAGTGAGTCGGTTCCGAATTGGCATTACTGAACGTTTACAGTAATGCCATGATTTTGTAGTTGTTCGAAAACAAGATCCAGATGCTTGAGATGTGTTTCACTGTCCAGACTTGCGATTAGGCAGTCGTCAACATACGCATGTACGAAGTCGAGACCTCAAAAAACGTCGTCTATGAATCTTAGGAATGTTTGAGCAACGTTTCTTAAACCGAAAGGCATTCGCAAAAATTCATAGGGTCCGAAGGGAGTCATGATAGCTGTTTTCGGTAGGTCTTCAGTAGCCATAGGGATTTGGTTATACGCTTCAACCAAGTCGATTTTTGAAAAGACAGTTGTACCTTTCAAGGTAGCTGTCAAATCATGAATGTGAGGCAACGAGTAACGATCGGGAATGGTTTTCGCATTCAATCGCCGATAGTCACCAGTTGGACGCCAATCGTTGCTGTCCCTTTTAGGAACCATGTGCAACGGAGATGCATATGAGCTACTTGACGGTCGTACGATTCCTAAGTCTATCATATGGTCGAACTCGTTTTTCGCCAACCTTAGCTTTTCAGGAGCTAGTCGTCGTGCTTTAGAGAATACAGGTGGTCCTGTAGTCATGATGTGATGTGTAACGTTGCTGGTTACACACGGTAGATTCGGTTGCGTTTGATGAATCCCAGGACACCTTCGAGTAGCGGTTGATAAAGTGGGTCTATCGTATGCTTAATTGTGACTGGGGATAATCTGCAACCAGTAAAAGAAGTTACGCAAACGGAGAAATTAGTGTTTCCGTCTACTAGCCTCCGTTTGCGCGTATCGATGATCAGATTATGGTGTTGTAGAAGGTCCATACCAATGATTGGCATAGAAACATCTGCAACAACGAAAATCCAGTGAATGGGTTTGCGTAAACCCACGTTAAGGTAAACGTACCTTTTGCCATACGTAGCGGTCGGTTTTCCGTTTGCCACCTTTAAGTTTAAAGCCGATATTTGAAGTCGGTCATTGGAATTCGCTGGGACAACGCTAACTTCTGCGCCAGTGTCGACGAGGTAGCGAACTCTCGTTGTCACATCTGTGACTTATAACAGACGGCTATGTTCGCCGGCTACGGTTGCCGTTAACGCGTGCCAGCTTGGAAGTTTCCCGAGTTGTTTTTCGAGTCACTCGGTTTCGTGTTGGGAAAATTGCATGATTTTCTGCAATTTCTGGAAAACTTTCCATACTGGTTATGATACCAGCACCAGTCGGGGTTATCTGTCTCTCGTGGTCTAGAGACAGATCGCTTACGTGAAATGCTTCTACGTGGGGTGCGCGAATTCTTACGGTCGGTACGAAGATTAAGATAACGCGTGAGTGTATGACATAACTCGGTTGTGTCATTCTGAGTCCTTTCAGGATTTTCTTTTACTGAAAATACCTCGGTAGTAGAAGGTTTCGTAATTTCTAAAATGCGGTCGGCAGATGCAGCCAGCTCGTCTAAGGCGTTGTTCTGAAACGAGACCTGAACCGCTTGCACCTGTTGGGGAAGTTTAGACAAGAAAAGTTGTTTGAATAGACCTTCGTCGAAAGTTCTTGGGCCTATAAACTCTTTCATCCTTTGCAACATGTCCGTCGCAGAACCGTGCTGCAGGTCTATGTTATTAAAGAGTTGATCTAACCTTTGTTGATCGGTTAGGTCTCCTCGTTTAAGGATAGAACGCCTTAAGGTTTCGTAAGGTTCAGAAACATCATTAGTAAACATACTAGGTGTTACGTACCTGTTGAATTCCCGCGGTAGTGCCTTGACTACTGCAAGGAATCATGCACATCTGTCGTTCACGCCGTGCTCGTGAAAGTCGGCTTCTGCGTAGCAGAACGAGGCTTAGATATTGTCGGGCCAGAAGGGCATTAGTTGGAACGAGGATGGGGACATGGTCTTAATCTTAAATACCTAAGGAGTCTGTTCGTTCAAAGGGGAACATTAAGTACGAGACTACGAGGGAAAAATATATAGATATCCTAAAACACGGGAAAAATATCACAATGTATAAAAAATAAAAATAAGGCAATAATACATAAAAAGCCCAAAAAGGAACGGACTCACCGTTGCAATTAGGTGTACTAGACCACGTCGGTCTCACTAATGAAGATGGCACAGGTATTCAGTGTTTGACAACGCTTTTACCAGCAACACCTTCTAATATAATTCGTACCCACCAAGAGAAATCAAAAGACAGAGTCGAGGACATCGGAAGAGTATATTTGGCGATAACCAATATATCGTAATTCTCTAATCTGATTTGGCTAGCGATTGCGGTAGATGTTGAGCACGGCGTTCCCACACGTGATCTGGTGCGGATGCATGGCCGAGCGCCTTCAGGGAGGTGAGTCCATTAAAACATGTGGTCAGCATCCAATGTCGAAAACTTACAGAGTTATTTATTTTGGGGATTTATTTACCGCTACAATATATTTTATACATACTTGGTTTACATACAAGCCAAACTAGACCATATCAAACCACAAAATAAAGAACAATAATCATACAGGATCAAGCCAAAAGTGGTTGTGAGTATGAGAGATTGTGACTACTAGATGGAGAATAACTCGAGAATGGTAAATCGTATGATAATGGTCATTATGTTAAATAAGAGTTTATGATAAAGGAAATGTAAATATATAAAATGTATAAAATAAGAATATATATGCAATAAAAATTCATAAATAGACCTCAGATGTTACCCAAATTTTGATCTCCGTTAGGATATAACAACTAAGAATAATGTTCACTGGTTTTGGCACTCCAAAAATGCAATCTCGTTGTGTGAGTACCTGAAAAGTTGTTGTTGCTGTATAAATCTTCAGTCAAGTAATGAAGTGCCTTGCAATCTTGACTCGAGGTACGAAGACATTTCTCAGTGATCAACCAATAGATACTGGTGGTTAGAAATCCACTACTAATTACAATTCTTCACTTCTGGCTATTCTTTAATGACACCACAGGTATTCAGAGTTTGACAACGCCCCTACCACTAACTCATATAATTGAAGAATGCCACCCGCCGAATCATAGGTCAGAAATGAAGAAGTTCGAAACAAATGAGTCCGCTTAGGCTCCAGATAAATCGGCCACCAAATACAAGTTGGATTTAGCCGAATGTATAGGTTAATGTCACCTGAATCTACCACAAATCCGCCGTCGTCATCTAATATCAAGACAGAAACGCACTACAAATCCTCAAGTATCTGAAATGCCTGACTTGATTGTTACCAAGAACTGGTCAGTTTCGCTTAGTTGAACATTAAGAAATAGCTGAAACCACCTTTCACCTTGTGTAGATTAGACTAAGATGTTTCTCTCTAGCTCATTTAAAGTTATTGTACCTGAGTGGCAAGCCTACACATATTAGACGATACAAAAGACCTGAAGCCATGTTTCAAAACTAAGATGTCAGCTCACAAAGTTTATTTAGTTTATACTTGGTATTTGCCAAGGTACCAGATATATGTGAGCGGCTGATTTAAGTCCAAGGTCCAACGACAGCGGTCCAAGGGCAACTACACTGTGGTCTGGCGACGCTTCTTTGCGCCGCTTCTTTATTTCTGCTTTGTGCACATCAAAAATTCAAAATTAATTATAAATAAATCTGAAAAATTGGTGGTTTTAGACTGAACTTAGGGATCTAGCAGACGGAACTAAGATTTAGAACTGTTTAAATCCCTACAACACCTTAGTAAGAGCTTTCCTCTGTTCTTCACGAAAGTCACCTCGAGTTTTGCTATCTTTTGTTATGATTGATATTGTTGTATACTTAATGCCGTCGGTGTAAGCCTTGTGTATGATTGTTTACTCTCTTGAAACCTGATTCTTTAGATAAAACGTATTAAAAAAGGTATTTGAATATATTGGTTATCTACATAACATGACTTTATTACTATTTGTACTAACACTGCAGTATAATTATCAAATGAGGAACAGTTGTTTTTTTATGAACTTATCGAGAGGCGATTAGACCATAGTATATGGACGACCTTTGAGCGACGCTGAAGTGACCTTGAGAACGGATACCTACTAATTAGGACAAAATGAAATTTCTAAACCAGTTAGAGTTATGATTCACGGTTGATAGTTAAGGTTAAAAATTAGATTTAGGGTTTACGTCACGAAATGACATAAGCTATAATGCCAAAACTATTTAGCCAAATGGATGAATGAATTTCGCTCTATAATTTATTACTCTTTATCTTTTATCTAATTGGTTCGTCCATGAATTATAGTCGCCCCAGACGCTTGTTGAGATGAGCAGAGATGTTAGTCAGATTACTTCTTCAGAAATTTGGAATTTGTTCGTAAAAGACGTGCATAAGCTATACAATATCGGTCACACATGTCTTAAAAACATCCCTCATCTCTGATGAAACCACGGAGTTACTTATGTCGGGATGTGGATAAGGGTACTATTTAGAGTTAACGACCCGATTAATCATGCCGTGGAACTTAATTGACTTCTATGTTTAAGATGTGCGTTACACATTCCTCATGACCGCCTACCCTAATGTGTAATATCATTTAACGTTCATATTGGTCAGGTAAGGTACATAGTTACGATCTTAAAACAATTCTTATAGATCATACCTTGTTCTAAATTACTTACTCAGAAATTGTTTTTTGTTCAATCAATTTATAAGATTTTTTGTTAGCACTTTCTACATATTTTTCACTTAGGCAGTTGAGTTATTTTCAGGCACTTTACTAGTGTTCTTGTTAGAATTTCCTAAAAATAACATGGAATAGGATACTAGTCGAGTCAGAGCCTATGGCGAACTGTCATAGATGACAGTAGCTACTTTTGCAACCTCAAGTGAAATCCGTCAAGGCTGTCCACTTTCTCCATTTTTGTTTAACTTCATCATAGATGTACTGATGGAAATAACATTCTCGTCGACTGAATTCTCGGGTATTGATCTCCTACCAGGAGGTCCACTTATCGACTTAGAATATGCAGATGACATAGTCCTGCTTGGTGAAGACGCTGACAAAGTGCAGAGTCTTCTGGTAGCACTAAGTAACAATGCCAAAATGTTTGGAATGCGCTTCTCTCCCTGTAAATGCAAGTTGTTGCTTCAGGACTGGCCTGCGTCAACACCTGAACTAAGGATAGGGAGTGAAGTAGTTGAACGCGTTGACAACTTCACTTATCTTGGAAGTCTGATCAGCCCTAATGGGTTGGTGTCTGACGAAATGTCAGCACAGATTCGAAAGGCTCGTTTGGCTTTTGCCAACTTACGTCACCTGTGGCGAAGGCGAGATATCCGTCTATCAATAAAAGGATGAGCATACTGCGCGGCAGTCCGTTCTGTTTTAATTTACAACAGCAGAACATGGCTATTAAGAGTAGAAGACACTCGTAAGCTACTAGTATTTGACCACAGATGTCTTAGAAATATTGCTGGCGTCTGCTGGGATCATTGGGTGAGTAATAATGAGGTTAAATGCAGGGTATTATAGAATGATGGTAAATCAGTTGTTGGGGTTGTGAATCTTCATCGACTGAAATGGTTTGGTCACGTGTTACGTATGCCTGAACACCGATTACCACGAAGTGCAATGTTAACCGGTGTTGGAGAGGGTTGGAAGAAAGTCAGTGATGGTCAAACCAAAACGTTGCATCAGTCATTGAAGTCACTAACTTCTAGTCTGAGTCATGGTGGTAGATGCAGACTACTTGGTTGTGGTCCGTGTGACTATCGTAACCAATGGTTAGAGACTGTGTGTGATATGGCTCAGAATCAATCACACTGGCGTAGGTGTATACACTCTCTGTCTTCCCTTAAACTAAGAGATTACAATCACTTCATATCTCTCTTTCTACGAACTAACACTTTATTCCTATACTATATCCTTATATGCAATCTTTCTTCTATATATTACCACCTTTGACCTATCCACTCCTGTGAATCCGGTGTTCATCTTGCTGTGCTAATGAGGTATGGCAACCTGGACCGATGCACATGTGTTCCTGGTCCTACGTTGTAGCTGACCGACTGAGCCCTCATAACAACTGATAAAGTTTTTTCTGGTTTCTTTTTAGATATTCATACCTACCTAATTTTTTTTAAATACTCTGTTGAACACCATTGTCTATCATACTAGTATTAATTGCATGTCACCAAGTAAGTTTTAAATCCTATTTCCTAATATTTCACTACAGTCATGTCGAATTTTCTCTATGTGATCTGTATATTTGCTTTTACTTACGTCGTAGAAAGTTCTTGGAATGTAAGTTTATATTTCAGCATTTATTTATGATAAACATTCAGGTTACTATAAATCATAATCCAAATTGTAATCTCTCGAAAGGATGTGACAAATATGATGTGATATACATAAATGGTCGTAATTTAACATCTTCAGTACATGTGTTTATAACAGCATCAGAACGCTTTTCTCTTCCATCAATTTTGATTATTCACAGTTCATCAGCTGAAGCTAATCCTGTAATAGAATGGGAGAATTTAAATGTTTCTTCTGGAAAAAGATTAAATATCGGTAATGTGACCCAGTCATATGCTCTTGTATTTTATAAAGTAAGTTTGTACTTAATAAACACGGTACTGTCAGATATATCCCTTACTATATATATATATATATATATATATATATATATATATATATATATATATATATATATATATATATTACACGTGCGAGCAGCCTAGAGTCCTGATTGGTCCTGCTCTCCGCCTAGCCCAGCCAGTTAAGTCCAGAACACCAGTCTCAGCCTCCGCAATATGAATCATTATATTTCAAGCATACTGAGTTTATATACAAACCGGACAGACCACAACGTACCAATAGAATATGAAAAAAAAACATTTGTACAAGAATTAGCTAGATGTGGCTGTGGATGAGGGAGGTAGTAATTAATGTACTGGGTATAACTCAAGAATGGTCAAACGTATAATTATAGTTTATGGGTCAAAATAAAGCTTATGATAAGAGGAATATGAATATGCATAGTTTAATTACGTAATAATTATAAAATAGAAATATACGTTTAGTATTGGCCCATAAATAGATCCCACAAGTTACCATTCATTATTCTTGTCGGGACAACACTTACTCAACCAGCTACGCTAGTGAAAGGGATTATACGTGACTACTAAGCTTTGATTGAGAAACTGAATAATAAAGTACACGTATATTTGTCATTCTGACCTACACCAGAACATGTGGGCCGAAACCTTGACTGGGAACATAGTCAGTTTCCTTCACTAAGATGGTCCACTTATAATTTGTCGCCCAACGCTTGACCTTGAGGTAACATCTGAGCACAGGCACATAATTTGCCTAAACTCTACATCCATATCACGAATGAAGTCATTATTGCTAGAAAAGACAAAGATAGACCCATTAATCAGATTCAGTTTTACTCAGTACAAGTTTGTGTACTTGTTTTTAGCGTTTGTAGGAGTGCCTGTGGTATACTAATAATTGGCTGCACAAACCGAAGTAGGTCGAGCGAAGTTCTAACGTCTCAGCCTATTGGTTGTGAAATGCAAATGCTACAACCTATAAGCAACCATTTCCTGCTGGGCTTTTACAAAGAATATTATCATAGCATATAAGCTTTACAGTATTACAAATTATTCTGAACACGTTATGAAAAGGACCTCTTTTTTTATTCGGAGATATAACGTTACATATATCCCATTTTGCTTTTTTGTTTAAAAATCAACCAGATGCTTGAATATAATGATTTATCTGATGATGTAAACATGTCCATTTATCCTCAAAATTCTGATCAAATTCGAATCCACCATTTAAATGAATATAACTGGAAGCGTAATTCAAACAACGATAGTTCATTATTCTTTGAAAATAATTTATTTGAAATAACATACAATGGAAGTAGTCCAAAATTGACTTCACCATACGAGCAAGTTATTATTAAGGTAAGTTAAAAAATATAATGGAACGCTAGTCTTAGTTTTGTTCTTTAATATGTATAACATATTTGTCTTTACGTAAATTGTGTTCAGGCTGTTGTATTGATTATTGTATTTGGGTCTATGTATGGCATATGTACATTTTATCAGTTTATGGGGTTATGAACTGTTATTGGTTATAATTATCTGTCACAACTCTGTGTATCAATCACGTCTTAAATAAGCACAGGGCGCAAGAAAAATAAACGAGACAAGACACAAAAGGGATGAATTAATCTCAATTATAGAGCATATTATTCAGCTTGAAACAACGTAGAACCTGACACTTGTGCATCTACTCAAATTGCTACACCATATCAGCACAGTGAGATGAAATTATGAAGGCAAATGTTGGAGCAGTAGAAGTAGTAACTGTAGTGATGATAGTAAAGAAACATTAGGTATAGACACCATACTTCAAGAAGAAAAGATGAATTCCCAGGATATGAAACAATAGGATAGTTTCAAAACTCAAGACACAAGGACAGATAAGTGGTGAATGCATTTAAGCCATGCTACTTAACATCTTCAACCATAGGTTAATCACGTAGATTCCAATCAGATAATCTATATCTACCTATACAGTTCAGATTAGTAGTCAGTAACTGCATGGATTGATGTCACATCCTAGTTTGGCTGCTCTTAGCTTTCCTCCAACCGAATTTTCACAATTATTTCTATAATAATTTCCATTAAAGAAACTTGTTATTATTTCAGTTAGAATTTGTTTTGTTTTGTTTTCTAATTTCAGTTTCGAATAAGTAATACAACTCAACATCATAAAGATATGCCACATTTATTATTTAAACCTGGTTGGATTATTCAATTTGATATTTTATTCAATAATTTAACTAGTAATTTTAATCAAAGTCGATTTGGTTTACAATTAATGATGATGTCAAATTTAACCTTAGATCCAACTGAAGAATTTCGTAAAGAAGTTTTATTCAGTATTGACGATGAATTAACACCTGGAAATTTTGAGGTAAAATTTTTGTTTTTCTGAAACGAAAACAACAACGTGTAAAAAAATGTTCCTGTCAGAAAGTAGAATGAATTTTATTCTGTACAGATTAGTGACTAATTTTATGGGGTAATTTCTGGTGTTCTAGTGACGAAAAGGTTTGACTAGTGGAGTTCAGCTATATGTAGTGTGAGACAGTTGGTTTACTCACCAATGACATTGGAAGATGATTGCGCTATTTCACGGATTGATTAAAGTTAAAAATGTAAACCATTGAACGATGGGTCATTTATCTGGAGGTTTAGTGTTCATCTAGAGACCTAATGAAGGTCGTGTGTTCGTTTCCTCGTGGTGTCATGAATGGTATTCTGTCATACTAAGACAGTATGGCTGTTCATTTCTCCTGGTTTGATTAAGGTAATTGTCTACTTAGAGTCAGTCTGTCATGTAAACTATAGAAATTGATGTTTTTGGTCGAGTTTCGTTCTCTAAGCTGGATAGTTTTGTTGTGAGGTTTTCATTGTTCTTCTGAATAAAATCAGCGAAGACTTCAGATAGAAGTGGAGTGTTTGAATTTCCCTACAAATAATAAACAACTTATGCTTGTCATCCACCTGGGCTACAAAATTTCACCATCATCTTATATTTGTCTTTGTGTGTTTGTGAAACTTAGTTATCAGACGTAAGATAAGCAAATCAATTCAGTATTTTAATCCTATAAAAGTGTTCTAGTCCAAGGGAATATGTTATGTAGCAAAAAAGCAATAACAATCATCTTACTTAGCGTTACTTAGTTAATGAAGTGTGGAATTTTCACCAGACAATATTTCGACAAGTTCGTCTGACTTTATATGTATATATATATACATAATAGAATTAAAGCCTTTATCAGTATGGGGTTGTGGAGATTATAATGTTATTGATTGAGATTTTGAACCGACTGATGTCAGACCACCGTTGAAAACGTGGAAGCTCTGGACGGCCGTTTCGTCCTATTGTGGGGCTGCTCAGCAGTAAGCGTACACGATCTCGCTCGCTGGATTCAAACCAAGGACCTTCAGTCTTGCGTGCGGACGCTCAACCTACCAGACCATTGACGAATGCTGGTGAGCGGCCTATGCTCCTTCACGAGGAGTAACAGGCGTAAGTAAGTAAGTTAGCGTTTGAATATTAAGCAATTTATTGTTATCAGTAAATTTAAGATTGCTATCATACGTCTAAATAGTTCTTTGTATATATATCCATCTTTTCTTAAATACTAGATGACCAATATTTTATTAGGTGAATCAGTATCTAAAATGAATAATAATGCTGAACAATATTCAAGGAATTCAACTCATCCATCAGCATTCCTTCAAATTAAACCAGCTTGTTTCATTGATAATCATTTGCGAACAGTTCAAAATAGTCGTAATGTTTATATTGGTAAACATCAAGATTTATTAGAGTATAATAAAATGGGAAATGATAATTTATCTCAATTTCATTTACTTCATTATTCATTTCCATCAATATTTTATGCGGATCGATTAAATCCTAATGGTAACAATGATACTAACCTGAAACCTATTGGTATTCGTTTATTAAATGTATCATTTGGTACATCGACTGATGGATTTTATGCTAAATCGAAATTTATTGTTTGGTAAGTTGATCTTATTTTGATTATTGTCTGTTTGTTTGTTATTGTTGTTATTGAGTTTTCTCTTTGTTCTTTTTTCTTTTTCCTTTAATATTCAGTTATTCATTGATAATGAAATTTAAAGCCTGGAATGAGCGTTTGTTATTTCAAGTTGTCATGACTAGTTAAAATAAGCAGGAAGTATAATAATTATTATGAAATATTCGTCTATCAATTAAGGGACGAGTATACTATGTGGCAGTTCGTTCTGTTTTATTTTACGGCTGCGAAACATGGCCATTCAAAGTTGAAGATACTCATAAGCTACTAGTATTTGACCACAGATGTCTTAGAAATATTGCTCGCATCTGCTGGGATCATCGGGTAAGTAATAGTGAGGTTAGATGCAGGGTATTATAGAATGATGGTAAATCAGTTGATGAGGTTGTGAATCATCATCGACTGAGATGGTTGGGTCACCTGTTACGTATGCCTGAACACCGAGTACCACGACGCGCAATGCTGACTAGTGTTGGGCATGGTTGGAAGAAAGTTAGGGGTTGCCAAACCAAAACGTGGTATCATTGCTTGAAGTCACTAACTTCTAGTCTGAGCGATGTTGGTAGATGCAGACTACTTAGTTGTGGTCCGTGTGACTATCGTAACCAATGGTTGGAGACTCTTGGTGACATGGTCCAGGATCGGTCACAGTGGTCAAATATTGGAACTGTTACGCTACACTGATGTATGCCTAGAAGACGTTTACTTAGTAAAATTTCAACTGACTGACTAACTATATCTTGTTTACAAACTATTTCACATTGTTAAGCCTGAGCTATTTTTTAGTTTTCTGATAATACAATGCATTACACCTAGTTTTTATAATACATCATTTGAACAGTATCAGTACACATATTTATCTATAAAACTGATCAATAACTGCAGGCTTTTAACCTTTGTTACAGTGCTGCTATATATATATATATATATATATATATATATATATATATATATATATATATCAGTAATTGACAACACATGTTTATATTTTCAATAATAATCAAAGTTCACCATACATTCCATTACACACGAACTGACACCTTAGATATTCCGTTACTAAACAATCTCATCATATTTTCGTGTGACTAGGTGTAATCAGAATGAATGTATAGAATATATTGAGGGGCGATCAGCGTGATGCGTTGTGAGAATCATATGCATCATGGGCTGATCCTAGATCATCATTCAATGTTGAGAAATACTAAATAGTAGTTTAACATTCTTCAGTAATGGGGATTCATGACCCACTGGAGAATTATTATGAAGTCAAGATTTTTTCGGTGTTTACAGTCTTGAATGCTTGAGATGTGATTCTATCCCTCCAAATGCAGAATGTTGCTTCAGAGCAACTGCCTTAGCGTCTAAATTAATGAAAGGGATTGAAATAGTCGATTGCATCAACCAGTCAGCTACAACCTTGGACCAAGCAACAACCACTTCACTTAGGGTCTCATCAGCAGTGATTAGTCGGTGTCTGGGAAAGGTTCGGCACGGAATCAGGAAGTTCGACTGACCTTTCCTGACTTGGATCGCTTGTGGCGTAGGCAGGATACCCGTAGGCAAACCCGCGTGGTCTAGTGGTTAGGATTCCTGGCTTTCACCCAGGCGGCACGGGTTCGATTCCCGACTTTGCCCCCGAATACCCTGGTAGACCACCCCCGAATGCCTTGGTACGGCCGAGAGTGGGGAGAGTCCGCTCTCCCTCTCGAAATACTCTCACACGGCTACACGTATACAGCCTCTGCCAGGGAAGTCCTACTCATTGCCTTCTCGTGGCGGGGGTGTTGTTTACGAAAATGAGAGGACGAAAAGCGAATGTCCGGCGCTTTAACCGGATCACAAATCAATGGTGCACATGGGCTCCAGTATCCTGCGGGAACAAATGGCGTATGAACCAATCGTTGGTCACCGGCTACCATGGGACTGCATCTCCTTACGAAGCTCCACTGCCTTGTGGGTTAGACCTTTAGGTCAAAGGCTCGGGGAGTGGCCCCCTAAGATAACCACCTGCTTCGGTTTGGGCACCCGGGCAGTATCACAGCCCACACACAAATTGATGAACTCTTTATGCCTATGGAAATTACCTTTCTCGCTTTGAAAAACAAACAATTGATTCAGATTATTATCATTACAATTATTGTCATTATTATTATTATTATTATTATTATTATTATTATTATTATTATTTTCCACATTATTCACCCTCTTTTATACTTATACAGCGGCTCGTCTTTGGTGGAAATTCGACTGTATCTAAACGTTCTCGAGTCACTGTCCGGTTGAAAATTGTATGTTACCACCGAATACGAGAACTGAAGCAGTTTTTCTGAAACCACGTGCACCATTCAAACTGGCTGCCTTCAACGTTCGCACATTTATGCAGGTCGGACAACAGATAGGGCTGGCTATGTCTTTGGAAAGTCTTAATATTGATGTTTGTTGTCTATCCGAGACCCGTATTCAAGACTCTGGCGAAGTACTACAAATTCGATCTCCATCTGTCGCTTCGAAAAGCTTGTTTTACGTGCGCTTATCCGCAGACCCTGTGGCATCTTCGTCTGGTCTTGCTGGCGTTGGTGTCGCACTAAGCGCTAGAGCTGAGGCAGCACTAGTCGATTGGATCCCCATTAACAGTCGGTTATGTGCTGTTAGATTAGAAAGTTCCATCAAAGTGAGAAGAAATCGGCGTGAGAAACGATGTCTTTTCGTCATCTCCGCCTATGCCCCGACAGATTGCAGCCCGGATGCAATCAAGGATGAGTTTTACCACCAGTTATCAGTTCTTCTCCAGAAAGTGCGTTCGACAGATATTGTAGTACTAGCCGGAGACTTGAATGCTCAGGTCGGGCGTCTAGGTACAGAAGAGAGTCGTTTAGGTGGCCGATGGGGACTCGTTGGTCGCAGGTCAGATAACGGGGACCGTCTACTGCAACTTTGCACAGACCACAACCTGTTTCTGGCTAGCACTAACTTTCGGCACAGTCATCGCCGATGTGCCACCTGGCGTCCTCTCTCTGCATCCCAAGCCTGGACTCAGATTGGTCACATCGCGATCAGCTACCGCTGGCGTGGTTGTGTACAAGACTGCCGCTCCTTTTGGAGTACCTATCTGGACTCTGACCATGCCTTGGTCTGCGCCAATCTTGCCTTACTTTTCAGTGGACAACGAAGTGACCGCCATCAACGGATTGATATTAGCAAGCTGGCTGCAACTTCTGTTGCAAGTAAGTATCGAACCGAGATAGCCTCTAGGCTAGCTACCACTCCACCGAAAAGTATAGATGAGCATTGGTTGCAATTGCATAACGCCATGAAAATGGCGGGTACAGTCAGTTGTGGGTTCGCGAAACGTCCCGCTTATAAGCACTGGGTTTCTCCAGGTTCCTTACAACTCATTGAAGCCCGTCGGTTTACTCCGGGTGACCGTGAGTTTGACCATAAACGAAGGATGTTACGTAAGGAAATTGGGCAAAGCTTGCATAAGGACCGAGAAGCCTGGTGGTCGAAGCGTGCTAATGAGCTGGAAGCAGCAGCTGCATCTGGTAACTACCGGAAGCTCTTCCAACTCATCCGAGCCACTGGCAGCAAGAAGTCTGATGTGAGTGAAACAATCTGCGAGGATGATGGGATGCCAATTACTAACATCCATCGACGTCTTGGTCGATGGGCAGAATTTTTCGAAGGGCAGTTCAACTGGCCTGCTGCTCCGGCAACATCGGTCAGACTGTCCTGCCCTCCATGGCCGGTGACGACTGATCCACCAAATGAGGAGGAAGTCCGCAAGGAACTCCAACTCTTGAAGCGTTACAAATCACCTGGCCCAGATGACTTACCTCCGGCTCTTTTTAAAGATGGTGGTGACTTTCTCACCAAGGATTCGACGACGTTGTTTACAAAGGTTTGGGAACTAGAGAGTGTACCAACGTCATGGAATGAGTCGATAGTTGTCCCTATCTTTAAAAAGGGTTCACGTCGTTCCTGTAACAACTATCGGGGGATAAGTTTACTTCCGATTGCGTCCAAGCTATTGGCTTCTGTCATACTTCGTAAGTTGTTCAAAACCAGAGAAAGATTGACTCGCGAGGGGCAGGCTGGGTTTCGTTCTGGTGGAGGATGTATTGATCATATCTTCACCCTCCGCCAAATATTAGAACACCGCCATACTTATCAAAGGCCGGAGGTAAGTCATCTGGGCCAGGTGATTTGTAACGCTTCAAGAGTTGGAGTTCCTTGCGGACTTCCTCCTCATTTGGTGGATCAGTCGTCACCGGCCATGGAGGGCAGGACAGTCTGACCGATGTTGCCGGAGCAGCAGGCCAGTTGAACTGCCCTTCGAAAAATTCTGCCCATCGTCCAAGACGTCGATGGATGTTAGTGATTGGCATCCCATCATCCTCGCAGATTGTTTCACTCACATCAGACTTCTTGCTGCCAGTGGCTCGGATGAGTTGGAAGAGCTTCCGGTAGTTACCAGATGCAGCTGCTGCTTCCAGCTCATTAGCACGCTTCGACCACCAGGCTTCTCGGTCCTTATGCAAGCTTTGCCCAATTTCCTTACGTAACATCCTTCGTTTATGGTCAAACTCACGGTCACCCGGAGTAAACCGACGGGCTTCAATGAGTTGTAAGGAACCTGGAGAAACCCAGTGCTTATAAGCGGGACGTTTCGCGAACCCACAACTGACTGTACCCGCCATTTTCATGGCGTTATGCAATTGCAACCAATGCTCATCTATACTTTTCGGTGGAGTGGTAGCTAGCCTAGAGGCTATCTCGGTTCGATACTTACTTGCAACAGAAGTTGCAGCCAGCTTGCTAATATCAATCCGTTGATGGCGGTCACTTCGTTGTCCACTGAAAAGTAAGGCAAGATTGGCGCAGACCAAGGCATGGTCAGAGTCCAGATAGGTACTCCAAAAGGAGCGGCAGTCTTGTACACAACCACGCCAGCGGTAGCTGATCGCGATGTGACCAATCTGAGTCCAGGCTTGGGATGCAGAGAGAGGACGCCAGGTGGCACATCGGCGATGACTGTGCCGAAAGTTAGTGCTAGCCAGAAACAGGTTGTGGTCTGTGCAAAGTTGCAGTAGACGGTCCCCGTTATCTGACCTGCGACCAACGAGTCCCCATCGGCCACCTAAACGACTCTCTTCTGTACCTAGACGCCCGACCTGAGCATTCAAGTCTCCGGCTAGTACTACAATATCTGTCGAACGCACTTTCTGGAGAAGAACTGATAACTGGTGGTAAAACTCATCCTTGATTGCATCCGGGCTGCAATCTGTCGGGGCATAGGCGGAGATGACGAAAAGACATCGTTTCTCACGCCGATTTCTTCTCACTTTGATGGAACTTTCTAATCTAACAGCACATAACCGACTGTTAATGGGGATCCAATCGACTAGTGCTGCCTCAGCTCTAGCGCTTAGTGCGACACCAACGCCAGCAAGACCAGACGAAGATGCCACAGGGTCTGCGGATAAGCGCACGTAAAACAAGCTTTTCGAAGCGACAGATGGAGATCGAATTTGTAGTACTTCGCCAGAGTCTTGAATACGGGTCTCGGATAGACAACAAACATCAATATTAAGACTTTCCAAAGACATAGCCAGCCCTATCTGTTGTCCGACCTGCATAAATGTGCGAACGTTGAAGGCAGCCAGTTTGAATGGTGCACGTGGTTTCAGAAAAACTGCTTCAGTTCTCGTATTCGGTGGTAACATACAATTTTCAACCGGACAGTGACTCGAGAACGTTTAGATACAGTCGAATTTCCACCAAAGACGAGCCGCTGTATAAGTATAAAAGAGGGTGAATAATGTGGAAAATAATAATAATAATAATAATAATAATAATAATAATAATAATAATAATAATAATAATAATAATAATAATAATAATAATAATGACAATAATTGTAATGATAATAATCTGAATCAATTGTTTGTTTTTCAAAGCGAGAAAGGTAATTTCCATAGGCATAAAGAGTTCATCAATTTGTGTGTGGGCTGTGATACTGCCCGGGTGCCCAAACCGAAGCAGGTGGTTATCTTAGGGGGCCACTCCCCGAGCCTTTGACCTAAAGGTCTAACCCACAAGGCAGTGGAGCTTCGTAAGGAGATGCAGTCCCATGGTAGCCGGTGACCAACGATTGGTTCATACGCCATTTGTTCCCGCAGGATACTGGAGCCCATGTGCACCATTGATTTGTGATCCGGTTAAAGCGCCGGACATTCGCTTTTCGTCCTCTCATTTTCGTAAACAACACCCCCGCCACGAGAAGGCAATGAGTAGGACTTCCCTGGCAGAGGCTGTATACGTGTAGCCGTGTGAGAGTATTTCGAGAGGGAGAGCGGACTCTCCCCACTCTCGGCCGTACCAGGGCATTCAGGGGGCAATTAATGGTGGTGTGGATCTGTTGCCTGGAGAAAGACTTCTCGACCTTGAGTATGCGGACGATATTGTCTTAATCTGCGATAATGCCCAAGGCATGCAATCTTCACTTAATCAGTTGGCAATCAGTGTCCGTAGGTATGGTATGTGCTTTGCACCTTTGAAGTGCAAAGTAATTCTACAGGACTGGCAGGATTCTAATCCTGTACTCACCCCGGATGGTGAGCAGATAGACGTAGTTGAGAAGTTCGTGTATCTGGGTAGCTGCATAAGTGCTGGTGGGGGTGTGAGTGATGAGATCAGTGCACGAATAGTGAAAGCCAGAGCGGCTTATGCCAATCTGGGCCACCTTTGACGCCTTCGTGATGTTAGCCTGGCTGTAAAAGGCCGGATCTACAACGCGTCGGTGAGAGCAGTTTTGCTCTATGCTTGTGAAACCTGGCCTCTCCGAGTTGAGGATGTTAGACGACTCTCTGTGTTCGATCATCGCTGTCTCCTAAGGATTGCTGACATTCAGTGGCAACACCATGTCAGTAATGCAGAGTTTCGGCATCGTGTGTTCGGGCACAGAGATGATAATTCAATTGGTGTCACCATCTTGAAACACCGACTTCGGTGGCTTGGACATGTTCTCCGAATGTCGTCCCAGAGAATTCCACGTCGTGCATTATTTGCTGGCTCTGGGACTGGTTGGAAGAAGCGGAGAGGTGGTCATTGCATGACATGGTGTCGTGGTATGAAAGAAAGCTGCAAAGGACTGGCTTCTGTTGGTCCTTCACGACTCCCTGGTTGGGGTCTGAGATATGGTGCTGCACAGTGGCTAGAGACGTTATCAGATATGGCTCAGAATAGAAGCCAGTGGCGATCCTGCTGTAACCTTCTTTTACTTTCTTCATAAAAAGTGGTTGTGTCTCCTTTACCTGAAAGATTTCTTCTGATTGTACCCTTTCGTTCCGTCGTTACTACCACACTACCTTACACCAATCTCTTCGTTGTTGTTCACTTTTTTTTCTATTTCTCTTCGAATATTTATAGGTTACTATTTATTAGTCGTGTCTTTGGAGTATTGCTTGTGTATTTTTGAACCATATAGTGAGGAATACACAGGATATTAGGGAAGGATGTCAAATTGACTGGTTAGTTAGTGAATCTTTGTCAACCGAGGCGGTTGGAACATGTGTTACGTATTGCTAATCAAAACATACTCCTTAGGAACTGAGTCCCGAAACCCTATATCTGTTTCTTTATTTTATACCTGGTTTTCCTTACCATTACTGACACTACTACTTTAGTATACGCCCTGAAACAATTTTATCGCACTTTGTGGTATGGCAACTTGGACCGATGCACATGTGTCAGGAACTACATTGCCTATGATTTAGTGTCAAAGGAATTATGTTTGTTGATTATTCTGAGCCATAATGTATTGAGTTCTTGCCGCCCGGTGTCATTCGAACACTATACTTCAACCGCCTTCTGAATTAGATCATGAATTAAAAGTAAGCAATGTATATTCCAATAAATTCAAATAATACAATATACCATAATGATGGCATTACTGTTTATACAAGGATCTCCTAGCATCTTTCCGACTCGTCCACTAGCGCTGATTCACCGAAAAATCGAACAATCAATGTGTTCTGATTCGAGCCTGGTTAGGACATTTAATAGTCAGAACATTGTCAGTCTAACATATTGTTCGGTATTGTCATTGAAATGTCTCGTGTTGCAGTGACTAGATTTAGTCAACAATAAATAACTTAAATTTCAAATGAATATTTAGTTGTTCATTGTACTATACCTGTCATTCATATCTGTTTTCTGTTTATACAATCCTATTTTGTGATGAAAACTGCTGCTTGATTTGTAACAAATGATTTATATCACTTATATAAGGGTTTCGTAGAGATGGCTGAATTTCTATGGTTTGCATATCGTGTTTAGTGGTAACTAGTTTTGAGATTTCTAAAGAAACGTCATAACCAGTGGAGTTCAGCCACATCATGTGTGAAGCATTGGCCCACCAGTGGTACTGGGAAAGTTTTGCAGTATCGCGAATTGATTGGAGTTAGAAATGTAAATCATTAGATGCCAACTCAGTGTTCTTAATGTTAAACTCATATCCTAAGACCTGATGGTCCCAGGTTTGGTCTTCTTTGGCGAGGACGCTACTGCTGAGTAGCTCCATACTAAAACGAAGCAACTGTCTAGTGTCTCCTGGTTCTCAGTGATGGTCTAAGGTCGGTCTGTGATGCAGGCTATAAAATCATTTATGATCATCCATATCCATCCAAGTTGAATTTTCAGAAATAAATTGATAACTGTATCATAAGATTACCTCGTCTCAACTGACTGCTTTCTATGCTTAATATTTAATCCTTCCAGGTTGCTTTAACAAGCAGAATGGTTTGTTATTGAAACAATATCATTCTGATATTTGTATTTTTTCAGTCTTCCTTTAATAAATTACATTAGAAAATAATCATTTATCACATTATATATGACATAACTAATCCTATAACTCATCATAATGTACAATATAATACAACTAACTTATTCACCAAGTACTTGGATGTAAGTTACGGTTTAAGTGTAAGAGCTAATAATAGCAACCGGTTGTTCAACTCAAAATGCGTTTCGAACCTAAGGCCTAGTGGCAAGAAGTTGAACGCTTTAATCACCCAACTCTCGCTTCACATTCATGATTGCTTAAAACAATTAGAAGTTCTGTTGTGACTGAACTTAGATCGATTTTTACTCCGTGCCAATTGTTGTGTCCTTGACTGGAAGATTAGAGAGCAGCGTATTTATCGATCGATTCAATGACACGTAAACACGCACGGACGGCCTAGAGTCTCGATTGGACCTGCTTCCCTGTCTAGCCCAGTCAGTTGAGTCCAGAACACAAGTCACAGCCTCGGAGATATGAATCGTTATATTTCAAACATACTCTGTTTATACACCAACCAAACATACCACATCGTACCATAAAATAGAAAACGACATCTGTACAATTATAAATAACGGCCAATAGGGAATATCCATTTAGAGTCCAAGGACGCCATTAGACTTAACATGATAATTATTGGTACATTCCTGTGCATCCACAACAAGTTCTTACTCTGATGTAATTCGTTAGTACACTATATAGTTGCTCTGAATGAAAATAGTTGCTTTTATCAGTAATAAAACGCAAATTTATCATGATAAATAATATATATATATATATATATATATATATATATATATATATATAATTCCACTACAAAGGAAGACTGATAGAAATAGGATTGGATAAAATACAGTTACATTTATATTTACTAGTCTCGTAGTCTGAATAAGGACATAAAGCATACGATCACTTAACTAATATGGATCTAATCCGATTAAGAAGACAGTTACTTTGTTTTACTACACGTTAGATATGAGGTGGAACCAGTTAGAAAATCACCATATGACATAAAATATTTGTCTTTGGTCCTACATTACAAATCCCCAACAGTGTGTATTTGCAATCCTACAAACGACCAAATTCCGAAGAACATTTATGTCTAGTAATCGGAACGTCTCCAGATTATGATCTCTTGGACTTCTAAGCCGCTGAGAAAAATCCATATCATCTCAATGGTATCTTTGGATAATCATCTTTTATTTGGAGAGCGGAAACTATCGTGGGATAACGTTTGATGTGAATAGATAGGATAATCTAGTTAGTTACTAGAACGGAACTCGCATATTTACAACCAGTGCTTAATATCCAAGCCTATTGTTTTGTCATATACTGACACGGTAGATCCCTAAAGAGTTTACATAAACAGTAAGAGTCAGTGTTCACTTTGTCCTTCTCGCGTATTCATTGAATAAATCATGTATTCTATATTTCAAAGTTTCATTATTAATTGCAAATATTTAAACCCAGTACATTCTTTGCTTTCCCAAGGACTGCGTCGTTTGGTCTTGGCAACCCGCCTACTGATAATCTATCTTCTTTATTGATTGGATTGATTATATTCTCGATGCTAATCATTGTTAGCTCTGTAGTTTTAGGCATTCTACTTGTCATTGTTTTACGTCGAAGCACTACTATTATCAATAATGACAGACAACCGATTCTTAGTCATTTTGTTAATGATCCTATTGCTTAAATTGAATTTTTGCCCTTTTATATATTTTGTCCAAATTTTCGTTATTCCTTGAGGAGAGACAGGGTGGGGTAAACAAGAACCTGAGGAAAGAACCACAAATCCCATGAATCGTTAATTATTATTTTATGATTTTCTTCATTGTTGATTGTATTCTCTTGTATTAATTCATTTGTGCCTTTATAATATGCGGAAATCCACATTTAATATATATATACTTCTGTGATTTGCATTGAGAAAATATTGATTACACTGTTCTGTGTTAGCTGGATAATTGTGGCCGAGAAATGGGTTATACAAAAAAATTAACCAAAATCAGGTAGAGTGAAAGAGGGGTCAACAATTTCCTTCTTAACTCTGTACAATCACAAATATGGGTATGAATTTAAGGGAAAACAGATTAAATCAACAAATGGAATAGGACTGATATCAAGGTTTATAAATACATCCACTCTACTGGGACTATCTTCAATCATTGATTATTACTACCACGCAGACTCTTCCAGGAAAGCCTACGACTAACGACTAGTGGTTTCATGGTCTGGTATTATACTTAGAATGCCTACCCTTAGCTTTTCTTCAAGCCACTGATGGAGGTTAATGGATGATATAGATTTCAGTCACCACAGTCGATCAACATTATTCTATAAACGGACTCGCCATTTCTATGCAGTACTCTACATTTAACTCTAGGGACTACTACAATTGCTAAGTCGTTCATCAATAAAAGGCAAAACAAGCATGACTTCGGCCAATCTTCAACGACTGACCAGATGTAAATATCTCAAACTCACACGAGGTTAGTCGCTGCTTAAATGGCTTAGTGGTAACGCTTCGAACAGTGATGTGGTTTTGAATTCGATACGGAGAATCTGTCTTCAAGATTATAGGCACGCTTTGTTGAGTAATCTCAACCAGCACGAAACATAGGCCGACGCCGTTCCCAATCGGTTATCTCCATGATACTAATTTGAAGTTTCCTCACATATTCAAAGCAAAAATAGATTATGTGAGTGAGTGTTGGTTCTATATGATAGATATCCTTATTCTAGTAAGATCGTTAAATTATTATTCAAGATGCAAACCCACAAAAATCAAGTTATGGATTATATACAAAATAAAGAATTAATGATTTAATCTAGCACCAGAGAAGTGTTCCATACTAGCACACAATCGGTTTTGAGTCAAAATAACTTATATGCAGATATGTAATACCACTTTAGCTGTTAAAATCAAATTAGATGTAGGTTTTTCCAGTAGAAAATCCGAAAGTCTAATGATTAGTGAGCAACTGTTCATCTAATCATCGTAGCTAAATTTATCTGTAACATTCTGTTAAAGTGTGGTGTGATTTTCAAAATAAAAAGTGATCATATCTAAGCGTATAGCTTGTTAGTTGGATTAGAAATTGCTCCTAGAAGCAAACTAGTTTCAAGGATAATAATACTTAATTACTTCAGTCAATATATGGGACCAGATCACTACAGCTCTTGTGTAAAATATTAGATATATGTAAACTGTTATACTCAAGTTCAAAACAGGGACAAAATGTAGTTCATTTGCTGCTCGAATCCGTTATGTAATGATTCATGGTTTAGCTTATTTCATTTCAGTAAACGGAATGCACCGACTAAGACACTAAACAAGGGAGATTGTTTCGGTGAATTCATTTTTAAAGCTGTGCAATCGCAAATGTATATACTTATTTTGCAGGATAATAATTACAATAATAAACTTCTGTTAGACATTACGACAGTGAAGCAGAATAAACAAAGCTATTAGAAAAAAGATTTTCTTTTTGAAACAAGGAAACTAGTAGTCGTGTGATTGCTAATGGCTTATATATTCATCAAAAGATAGGGAAATTATCATTGGGAAAAGGATGGCCCAGCGTGATAAGATAAAACGTTGAAATCGGGATTAAATATAATCAGGAGGTTCAGAGAATCAGAAGTAAACCAGTTGGGGGTAGGCTTAAGGAAATGGAAGCAGATAGCTATAAAGGAAGAGTATGAAGAAAAGAAGTCATGATAACTTTGTCACAATAGCAAAGACTAGTTGCCATTCAGATGCGTAGTAATTAAGTATTATAGTAACTATCCCGACAGGCATAAGTTATATCTTGATGTGTATGTTTGGTTTGTCTGTCATGATGATCCAGTGGAGTTGGGACACATCCCTTCAGGTTCTACCACGTTAGATGTTTTTTGAATAGTACCATCAAGACCAGCAACTTAAGGTCTGAGGGCAAAGCTATACCATTGACCTTACAGTGTTATAACGGCAGTAAGATGTCCCCTCAAAGTAACTAGCAACTGCAGCGATCCTCCCTTCTTACAACAAAAGGAAGGACTAGGAATAGGTCGGTCGTAAAAATTACACACCTTAACCCAAAGATCCCCGTTTCCAGCGACAAACATGGAGCTAACGCATCAGGTTCCTCATCAAATATTCTTTTGAGGATGGGGTAAGCCGTAAGTGATAAGCTCCCCCATGTCTTTAGCAACTATTATCATACTGACTGTGGTAACTAATTGCCGGATTTATTTAAACCTAACTATCAGTGTCTATGCACTTGAGTGTAGTAGATGACTTACCCACCTATTTATTAAATATTAATTGAACTCGACTGTCTTTATCACATATTTGCGCTCGTTTTCTCACTGAGCTGAGGTTTCCCATGGTAGTTCCTAGAACATAGTGCCAGTTCCCTCAGCTGCATTGTCTTGTTGCTGCCTGCATGCTTCTTCATAGATCGATTTAAGCCAAGCTAATAATAAATTGTCGTTGAGGTTTGTGAAAATCATAGTAAATCGAGCACCGTGTTTCCATGAACAAAATTTTAGCATGAGTTATGAATTAATTTACACCTGAAATATGCACCAGAGGTGTATAATCGCGGTCACATTGCTTAACTAATGAACGTATGCTAAGATTTGTTGTATGTAGAAAGGTTTATGACAAAGTAGATGTAGGATTACCTGACCATATCTGTAGTCCCATGCAAAATAGCCTTTTATTAGTGCTCATTCACAAACCCTCTACTTTAGACACGAAAGGTGCATTCTTAGGATAAGTTGTACAACTCTCTGCCAATAATCAGAAATAATCCTTGATATTGACGCACAAGTTCCTTAAATGATCAACAAAGCACTTATGAAGCTTCTTTCTAGGGACACTGTAACAGCAACAGGTACTGAACAGTTATACTCAGTAATTCATAACGGCTGTTAGGAAAGTCGTGATTGCACTTATAAGGACATTTTCCAGTTGACATTACTTAGTATTCCGGTCTTTTAATTCCCTATAGAAGTGTAACTTCAAGTCAGAAGCATACAACTGGATAGGCATTTTTAGTAAAGTATATGACCAAACTAGCGTACTTAGATCCTGCCAACAGAATCTAGCACTTGTCATTACTCTTACTAGCAATACCGATTGTAGCGGATGGTATGAGCACCGAAATCCATAATTATCACCGACGGATGTACTTTCGTGTCGACTATTTTAGCGCTAATTTCAGGGCAGTTAAGTCATCTACTAATTTGATTCCTTTGTAAAACCCCAAACTCTTTTTACCACAGTTTATTCAATGACCAGTCATTCAGACTCAGCGTAGGAACCGAGGTATATGGGTTGGTAATCATTTATGGACTGAACAATTAACCTGGGGTTGGAATGTTGTGAAATACCAACATTTAACTACTAGTACAACTGACTAAGTCACTTCAGAGTGGAATACCAATTTTATCTGCTTCTGAAAGATATACCGAAGCACCACAAGTTATGAATAAACTTACATTCCTACGGACCTGCTACATTCATGTTTGTGAAATACTGCCACAAGATTTCAGCTTTTTTGGGTTAGGGAAGAATGGCACTTGTACACTTCATCACGATCCTTCTTTAGAACCTCAGATCCTAAATTACTTGCAATTCATTGCTTGATTATTTTATTAATTCGTATTTTCTCGAATCATATCTAGTGTCTAATATCATCTTGGAGAAATTCCGGCGTCCCCCCCCCAAACTATGGGGAAAACCTCTAAATTGTTAGATGATTTTGTGGAAATATACGGGATTTTTCCCAGACCTGAGATTTTGGGTTTCGTGCCATTTCCCCAAAGTTTACCTAAACCTGGCAAAACTTTTCCCAAAATAGGGAGATCGGGTGCCTAGGCTTTTCTACTGTCATCAATGCCGTTACCAATTTGCTACTCTGGGATTTCCCTGGTAATTCCATCTTACTGTGCTAGTGGAGTATGGGGTTTGAACTGATTTACGCGTGTCAGGTCCCATGTTGTATCTGACTAATTACCGGGTACACACAAATTTGATTTTTAAAACATGAAAGCGTACCGACATAAGATATCGACCTATAGAATAGAGCCTATACACTTAAAATATATTCTTATACTTTGAATGTCGTAATGAAAGCTGAACAAACTACATCAGTAACTACAAGAATACACTACAGCGACACATGTGGAGACCACTCAGTACTAGTCATAACAGATCTCTTCCCCAGTACGACTTGATGACTGGTTATTTCTGCAAGGTCTAAAATGTTATATCAGAATAGGCTTGTAATTAAGAACGAAATAATTCACAAGTCAGTTAGTTGTTTCAAAAAAGTATCTGTTTGCTAATATTTTTCAATAACCATGCTACCTCTATTTTTTGAAAAAAACAAGGAATACGTCTTCCGAAACCAACACGAGATACAATTCAGGATGATACAGCTAGCCTATATCTTGTATGGAAACATATTGTTTTCTACTTCTTTTTCCCATTTCTCGATCTGATGGAAGTGATTTGAATAGATTAAGATTAAACATACCCATGATGATGGGCAAAGTAATTGTGCCGTACGCATAAAGTAATTGCAAGCTTTGTATTCCTCTCCATATACTCGCTTACAACGCTGAAAATCTACAAAGTTTTGCACACATTTACTTTGGTACGTTAGGATACTAACACAATCATACTTACGGGGTTTGATTGGTATTTGGAAATCTAGAGTCATATGGAACGACTTCCATCCATTCAAAATCACCCTGTGTTTATAATAATTACTTGAACTTGCACTACCGTTTCCATTGACTCGCGACATTTATCCTTAAATTCGTCATAGCTGAACATCGTTTGAAGTCCGCTCGAATTAATTATGTTCAATGTCAGGTGCATAGCAGACTTTGCTTTGCAGAAATAATGAAGTTTTTGTTCCCTGTTATATGCATCTATGTAGTTGAAGGGAGATATGATCCTCGATATATTCTTTCCACAAACTGAAGCAAATTACAGTTTACTTAATAACATCAATGAACTAATAGTAACTCTTGGGGTTGTAGCGGCAAATAAATCCCCAAAATAAATAGCTCTGTAAGTTTTCGACATTGGATGCTGACCACATTAGTTTAGTGGACTCACCTAGCCGAAGGCGCTCGGTCATGCATCCGCACCAGATCACGTGTGGGAACGCCGTGCTCAACATCTACTGCAATCGCTAGCCAGACTAGATCAGACAATTCCGACATATTGGCAATCGTCAAATACAACTTCTGATCTCCTCGATTCTGTCATTTGATTTCCCATGGTGTGTACGAGTTATATTAGAAGATGTTACTGGTAAAAGTGTTGTCAAACACTGAATACCCGTGCCATCTTCAAGGCAGTCTCCCTCAGTACCATACCAAAAGTTTGAAAAACAAATATACAAGAAACTATAAATGTATCATCCTTAGTTGATTGAATAATAGAATCGCAATCCCAAGATATATCTCGAGTTATTTTGCGTAACTGTTAAATCGTCTCACGTAGCTTAGACGACACGAAGGAAATCATGAAACACCTAATCATAGTTCAATGAGGTGGTCTGCACACTCTTCTTTAAATGATAAAGAATACAAGAGAATTTTAGTTTGCTATATACTGTTGCGACAGAATCGGTACTGAGAAGCTAGAAACGATTGTGACTCTGCCTTACTCAAATACAGAAATTTAAATAAAGAAAAAGCTGTTAAGAAGTTCATAGAATACGCAACACGCTCATTCCGGGACACGAACAAAAGGATGAAGAGAGAAGCTGGCAACCCTGGATTCTGTGAAGATGGTACTACTCTGTCTCTAGAGGAAGAGGACCACAATGAAGCATAAGTATTGTTGAACTACATTAAAAATGTCGGTACTTTGAAGACTCATTCATCGGTTGCAAGTGAGCCCAACAATGCACGCTCTGGATATTATGGTCATTAAAGAAATCTATGGAGCCCGATGGACTACATCTTAGATTACTGAAGGGACTCCCAAACTTTGCCCCAATTCTGTAGAACATAAGTACAAAACCCCAAGATCAAGATGCTACTAATTTCTCATTACTTATTAAGTTAAACTATTTTACCCATTTCTTTAGAGTATTATACCGAACGCTTTCCTGCAAAAGAAGGATAACAAAATGCTGTTGAATTAAAACTATATTTGTACTTCTTGGGAAACCAGCTACTAGACAGTTCGATTACTTTTTGGCCTCAGAACTCACATTATAAGATCGACATGCACGTAAAAATTATCAAGAACTTCCACCAGAGTTCCCTGTGGCTTCAACATTCACAGGCATAGTTCACCGTCTTTCGGGTCTCGACGTATGCGCTTTTGCTCCGCCCCATCGTTGCACAATACTGTACATACTAACCTCAAGTTTGCCAACAAGAATAATTCTAGTGCCATTAACTTTGATCTTAATAACATGCATGCTGCAATCAAAGTCTTTAAGCCAAGTGCAAGTTTCGATGTAGATGCATCACATCTTTTTATACAAGCAGCAGGATTAAACATACTAACATTAAGACTCAAAATATTTACAATATCTTTGGAGGAAGATCCATATCCCGAGACCTGGACGGTAACGTATGTTGAAACGGAATATAAATCAGGACTGCTAACCTCGATCAAAAAATACAGACCTATAAATATCACCTCAGTTAAAGCAGTTGTAGGGAGCAATTTCCTACAAGTTTAATTCTGAGCTATTCTCTAGACCGTCGAATACAGAGTCTTGGTTTGGCCAAAGTCAGAACAAGCAAGCTATTTGGCTAGATAAACTTTATCTGTTTCTAAAACATAAGTTAACATCGTTAGTGTACAAACAAACTGTACGGTCTATTAATACAGGGAAAAAACAGACAAATAACATACCGAACAGTAGCCAGAGAATGGGGAAAATGAGTCAACAAGCAAATATTACTTTACAACGAACATCAAACTGTGATTGGTTAATAAAGAGATACAGCAGTCCAAGGTCAAAGGGAGTTAATGTGGTGGTGGGCGTTCCCCTTTATTATTGGTGAGTTCGTCTATCGATCACACTTTACACTCCCCCCGAAACGCGCACCACGTCCATTGTCCACGGTCGTCGTCGCCGTCAGACAACTGGCTCCTTTTAGTAGACATAAGCTTCGTACGTCCCGAACAGTTTCTTCGTTTGCGGTTCTCAATTTCGCCGTACGAACTTGTCCATCAGAGCCATAGCTTACTTGTTCGACAATAGCTTTGGGCCATAGACTTCTCGGTGAGCCAACATTGTTTACTAACATTAGGTCTCCCGAAAACTCATCCATCAATACCTTCTGAAACAATAGTGATCGCAGAATTCTTCTTATCGACTTTATGATACGTCCCCATACACTGCCTCGTTGACTAGCCCTCGAAATTTTAAAGCGCCATTCACAACCTCTCTCTAAAAGGGCATTTACTGTCTTGTTCTGGTTCCAACTACACATGATCTGTCTAAGAATAGCAGTGGCTCCTGTAAAACTACCAGATGCACCCTTACTCTTGTTCACAACTTGTACAAAGGTGCCTTTCTCAACACCATCCTCGATACCACAGCGAATATGTGGTACCTGCTTCTTCAGGGTCTAAGTTACTGGCTTCTTCGTTACAGTGGCGTTCGGCCTTTTCGGAGTCTTCACTTTCAGTTTGGTGTCCTTCTTTTCCTTAAACTTTCTTCGAGTTGATTTGGGTTTGTTAGCAGATGGTGCTTCAGTTTTAAGCTTAACAATCTTGTACTCAGTTTATAAAAAGAAACAATGAACTTGACGAGAGACATTTTCGGAGCTAATATACTTCGCAACACCATATGCTGATTCTGATTATGCCATACGATCTTCCACAGACATCGATGAAGTACGACTAAGTGGGTCTTTGAATTCAGTTGAATACAATTGTTCAAACTTATCCTCTAATTTCTCCTTAACCGAGAGGCAATTCAGTACACGGTTGCTTTCACGGGGTTTTCCGTAAGGGCCGGACAGTGTCCAGCCCAATATGGTCCTCACAGCAGATGGTTCATTCGTCTTCCCGGTTCTTATCTCTTTCATCTCGTGTACGCCCGGTGCGTTGCAGCCGATCAACAGTTTGACGTTCTCATCCTCTACTCTCGGGAAACTTATGTCTTTTAAATGGGACCAGGATACCATTTGTTGCGCCGTTGACACAGTCCTGTAAACTGCCGGTAATTTTTTGACTGTCAATACTTTCTGGACCTTAACGGATGAAGAAAAATCTATCGATTGCAACTCTACATCGACCTCTTTGGATAACAATAACCATTCATTACTAAGAGTCTTTAACGATACCGTTTTTGGTTTCCTCTCGAGGCCTAACTTATCAGCTAGGTCATCAACAATGAGAGAGGTATCTGACCCACTATCTAGAAAGGCGCAATTCTGAATAATCTTCTCATCATTTTTTATCCATACAGGCACTACTGCAAATGCTACCGGTCTCTGTATACACCTAACGACTTCCTCCGTACAAAGCTGAGTGTTGATGCAGGCACCAATATTAGTATTCCTTTGTTCTCCCCGCAACTTGTGTAACAGGGTATGGTGTCTCCAGCCACACCCTTCGACAGCACACGACCTCGGCGATCGACAGTTTCTTGCTACGTGGTTTGCCTTCAGACATACATTACACAACTTGTGTCTGAGAACGAATTCCTTCCTTTCTCTAACATTCTTGTCTTTAAATTTCTGACATTGATCTAAAGAATGATTACTGGAGCACTCCAAACAAGATGAACTGCGTAAGAGAGCAATATCATCACTAGCACTCGCATAAAATATTCTTGCTGCATTGTAATCTGTACTAATTTTTCTTTTTAAAACGCCAACATCTCTATTGTCACTATTACTACCGCGGTTGACGAGTAGGCCGTATCTAGTATTAGTTATATCAGCTTGCTCCTTTACAAACTCAACAAGATCGGTAAACAGAGGCTCTCTGCCTCCTCTGATAATCTTATAAGCTACCTTTAGCCACTCTTGTTGAATGTGCGTTGGTAATTTCAGAACCATAGTTTCAATAGTTCTAGAAGAGTTCAAATCAGAAACGTAATTCATCTGTTCGAGAGTCAAACTACATGCTTGCATTTCTCGAGATAGTCTTCTCAAACCATCTGGTTGATTTCTCCTTATATTGGGAAAGTTTAACAAATTATCGATAAACGTGCGTGCTACGACGTGTTTTTGGCCAAACGTTTCTTCTAAAAGCTTTAGGGCTTGATGGTAACCTATCTCTGGTTCTAGTATAGTACAATGAAGGATAGCGGCTTTCGCTTCTCCGTCACAATATTGAATCAAGTAATTTAGCTTAGCTCTAAATCCAATATTCTCACTCCCAATGCATTCTTCGAAATTTCTAATGAAATTCCAATAATTTGTCGGTGTACCATCAAACCTTACGACTTCTCGTTTTGGTAAATACAGATTTTTTAATATTGTATTCTCACTGATGCTTGCTGATTGGCCGGAACCTTCACATCTCTGGCAGCGTAACTTTTCTAGTTCAATTTCCTTTTCCAACTGGATTATGCGCAACCTAGCTAACTCGGGTTCTATCATGCTATTGTTTTTGAGTTCGTTCTTTACTTGATCCTTGTCATTAACTCCCGAATGATGGGGTGATAACTCTGGAATCTCATCGAAATCGTAGTATTTATTGGACGTCATTTCAGTAGGTATATCGAATTTACTGTTCGAAACTTTGTAGGGGGTAATTTCCTACAGGTTTAATTCTGAGCTATTCTCTAGACCGTCGAATACAGAGTCTTGGTTTGGCCAAAGTCAGAACAAGCAAGCTATTTGGCTAGATAAACTTTATCTGTTTCTAAAACATAAGTTAACATCGTTAGTGTACAAACAAACTGTACGGTCTATTAATACAGGGAAAAAACAGACAAA